TTCCCTGGGGTGCCATAAAAATGGGGGTGAAGAGACCCCCTCCACTGACTTTTGACTTCAGGTCTCCCTTGCCCCAGCTCTGCCTAGTCCCCTGGCTAGGGACTCTCCCTCCCTCGCCCTGCCCTCTCAGGAAGTCCAGAGGAAGCGCTTGCCCTCCATCTGGTGGCAGCTGCTGGACTTGCACCCTAATGACAGGGGTTGGGTGCCCTGTTCTCCTCATTTTTCCACAAGCCGATTTTGGGGTCTTGGTCTCTCCTCTCCCACTCCTTCCCCACGACAGGTCAGTCACCAGGCCCATCCATCTTCTCTGTCCTCACGCTGGCTACATGGTCCTCAGGCCTCATTTCTCCAACTGGGATCGGGGATCTTCCTAACGTTCACACCTGGCCCCCTCTCTTTCCTGCTCAGAACCCTTCCATGGCTCCACACTCCGGCCTGTGTAACCTGCAGCCCCCCGCCCCCCGAAAACCCCTCCAACATGCCTCTTATCCACTCGCTCACTTCAGCCCATCTACAAGGGCTCCCTTGTGACCAGAGTCCAGCCTCACCTGCACCCATTGCTGCCTTTAGCTAAGGGAACCCTGGTGGCATCGTGGGCTATGCATTTGGCTGCTCACCATAAGGTCAGCAGTTCAAAACCACCTGCCTCTATAAGGGAGAAAGAGGAGGCTTTCTAGTCCTCTAGGGCAGCTGTTCTCAACCAGTGGGTCGTGACCCCTTTGGGGGTCGAACAACCCTTTCACAGCGGTCGCCCAATTCATCACTGTGCTAGAGAACCCTGTCTAACAGTAGCAAAATGACAGTGATGAAGTAGCAATGAAAATAATTTTATGATTGGGGGGCCACCACAACATGAGGAACTGTATGAAAGGGTCGCGGCATTAGGAAGGTTGAGAACACTGCTTAGGGGATGGTTGGGGAAGGGTAAGGGGGAGTAAGGGGGAACCCTTCACAAAGTTGGATATATAGCTCCCCAAAGGGGTTGAATAACAGAAATGTGGATGAAGGGAGAAAGCAGTGTTAGATATGAAATAATTACAATATATAATTGATCAAAGGTTCACGAGCATAGGAGGGTGGGGGAGGGAGGGGGAAAAAGAGGAGATGATACTAAGGGCTCAAGCAGAAAATGTTTTGGAAATGATGTACAAATATGCTTGATACAATTGATGCATGGAAGATTAAGGGCGCTGTTAGAGCCCCCAGTAAAATGATTGGAAAAATAAAAGTTGCTCATGAGAGATTTGACACTCCTTCCTTCCGGGTGCAGTCGTGTGGACTGTGTCTATTTTGCGTTCACCAAACCTGAACAACCAAGCCCACAGCCTTCGAATCAGGTTGGACCACAGTGACCCCCTGGGTCCGAGCCACACTGCTCTGTGGCGTTTCTGAGGCCGTGGCTCTACGTGGCAGCCGGCGGCCACATCTTTCTCCTGGTGGATTTGAACCGCCGGCTTTGTGGTCAACACCTCACCCGCTGCGACACCAGGGCTCCTTCCTGAGCTCACAGTGCCTGTGCGTGTGGACTGGCCGCCCTTCAGGCGCTCTCGGCAGCCACCCTGCATCCAGCAGCGTCCAGAGCAAGGCTGGGGACCGGTGGGCATGGTGGGGTACGTGCCTACTGAATGTGCGATGGTGCGGGGGTGAGTTTGGGTGAGGAGGCCTGAGGTGGTGGGGAGGCAGGGGGAACCCATCGGGAGACCTTTCACCTGCTGTTTGTCGGCTGAGGCCCTTCAGGGGTCCTGCGGACCAGCCCCCATCGCCTCGGGCCTCTCCAGCAGTGCCCTTGGCTGTCCTGGCCGCAGGTCACTTTTCATACCAGGTACGGTGTTTCTTTCGCTTGTCCATCCATTCCCACACGGCAGCCCATCTTCAGCTTCAAATCTGAACCAAACCTACCCACGAGACTCGATGGCAGGGCCTGATACGGGCACGTGTCCACCAGCGCTCGCTGTAGCACTGGCCACTGGTCACTAGTCACGGGGGCCAAAGGGCAGAAGCAACCCAAGTGGCCACCACCAGATGACTGGGCCGACAAGATGTGGTGCAGACACACAGTGGGGCAGTGTTCCTTTTTCAATAAATCATTTTATTGGGGGCTCTTACAGCTCATGACAACCCACACACACATACATCGTCTCAAGCACATTTGTACATTTGCTGCCATCATCGTTCTCAAAACATTTTCTTTCTACTTTGAGCCCTTGGTATCAGCTCCTCATTTTCCTCCTCCCTCCCTCATGAACCCTAGATAATTTATAGATTATTATTTTTTCATGGCTGACACCGACCAATGTCTCCCTTCACCATTTCTGTTGCGTGTCCCCCTCGGGGGTGGTGGGGTGGTGGCTGGGTGCCGTCTGTTGGTTCTGACTCGTCACGACCCTACGTAGGACACAGACTGGTTCCCGCACCACCCTCGCAATGACGACAACAACGGGTCCCTTGTAGCAGCCACTGTGCAAATCCATCTCTTTGGGGGACCTTCCTCTTGTGGTTGACTCTTGACCAATGGCATGTTGCTCGGGCCCAGAGAGAAATGCCGTTGCGGTACGTGCTGTGATGTGCGAACACTGCGGCTGGAAGTGGGAGGGGCCAGATGCGAGGGAATGGGTAGTTCTAAGATTCCACTTGCATCAGAGGATGGGGACACACGCTCTCACTGCCATCGAGTCCCTTCGGACAGAGCAGACCTGCCCCTGTGGGTTTCTGAGGCCGTCCATCTGTACGGGGGCAGGAAGCCTCACCTTTCTCCCGCAGGGTGGACGGTGGGTTGGAACAGCTGACCTGGTGGTTAGCAGTGCAATTTCCAGCCCACTGTGCCACTGAGGCTTCTATAGGACAGGCACGTGCGGAGAGACAGAGGTAGACTGGAGGTCCCCAGGAGCCAGGGGAAGGGAGAATGGGAGTCGCGGTGTCTGTTAGGGGTGATAAAATCGTTCTGACACTGGATAGTGGTGATGTACTTAATGCCATCCAGTCGATGGTGACGCAGAGTGACCCTCTAGGACGGCCCGAACGGCCCCTGTGGGTTTCCGAGACTGTCACTCTTTACGGGGGTAGAAAGCCCTGTCTTGCTCCCAAGGAGTGTCTCGTGGTTTCCCACCTGCACACCCCGTGGATCGCAGCCCAGAGCATTCGGAGAGTGAAAATCACTACGGCGGCACAGCCTACTCTGGGCATTTTACCACCACGAGAGAAAACTCAAGGGCATCGCACCCACATTGAAAGTCAAAGCCCTCAGGGCAGCCTGCAAGATGTGAAGTCATCCCTAGGAGGGGTGTTTGGACGCTGGTGGAAGAATGGAACGGAACATCTGGAAGCCCCTTCCCGGGGATCTCTACCACTGTCTTGCCCTTGGCTGGGGGCCAATTCCTCCTCTAGAGCTGCTGCTGAAGCCCAGGGGCCTCTCCACCTCCTGGGCCACTCTCCGGGCCTCTTCAGCTCCTGTCCGTGGCCCCAGGGCCACACACCAGCTGAGACGGGTGCTCTGAGCCGGTTCCGTGGGAGCTCCCCGCTGCAGCCGCTGTATCCGAGGTCTTCCTCTTTTCTGGCTGTGCCACTACTTTGCGAAGCTTGATGTCCCCTCTCAGGGACCGGTGTCTCCTGACCGTATGTCCAGAGCGCATGAGATGAAATCTTACCAGCTTTGCTCCTAAGGAACATCCCAACTGTGCTGCTTCTAGGCGACTCTAGGACAGTAGCAGGGCACGCTACTTTCAGTAGGCAGCACGATGGTCCAGATGCGTGGGCCCTTCTTCAGTCTTCCTGAGTGTCCACCTTCCACCTGCACAGGAGGCGGTTGGAAACCCCATGGCTTGGGTCAGTACCCAAATCCTCAGTGACCTCCTTGCTTTTCAGTACTCTTTGGCCTTGGGCAGCCACTTACCTCCTGCAGCTCTTTTGATCTCTTGAGGGTTGCCTAAGAGGTGACTGAAAATACAGGGCTTGGGTTGGGCACACCTTAGGCCTCAAAGTAACCTTCTTGCTCTCCCACACGTTAGAGAGGTCTTGCGTGCTTCAGCCCTGTTCCAGGACGCTGACCCACAGGGAACTTCCACACTGAGCTCGCCCATCTTGCTCGCTGGCTATGCTGAAGCTGCCTCCTGCAGGCCCAGCTCAGGCCGCAAGTGGGGCCTGACAGCGCTTTCTCTCCTTGACACTGGAAGCTCGGCCGTGAGTGACACTGGGTCGGGTTCCACTGTTACAGGGCGTCTCAGCCCGTGGAGGAGTATTGCATGATTGTAGAACACCAGGCTGACAGGATCCGGGCCCCACCCCGACCCCCACTCTTCCCCTTGGCTCTCCAGCCATCAGCCCCAGCTCCGGCCTTCCAGCTTTTGTCCGGCTGCTTCCTCTGCCCACAAAGCTCTGCTCCCAAAGGACCCTCAGCTACTTCCTGCTCCCCACCCCTGGCCTTTGCTGTCACCGCAGGGAGGCCTTCTCTGGCCCTCCACGTTACCCTGGAGCCTGCCTCCAGAACTTTCTGTGCCCGAGTTAACACAGGAGGGGGAGGGGGGCATCGTTCCCTGGGAATGGCTGCTTGTGGTATCTAAGTTGTCTTTTCGGACAAGGGTCGATGGCGGACACTTGCTTTCCTCCTGGGAGCCTGGAGCTTGGACTCGTGGTTGGCAGAGTCTGTGGCTGACTGCCAACCCCCCATAGATCCTGGGTGGCCTCTCATGAGTACTCCTGTCATAGGGGTGTCTTCTTTGAGATTGTGCCCGTCCCCTCTGGTAGCTGTGCCGTGGCCTCTCATTGTGATAATTTCCCCTAGTCCAGATTCCATGCCCAGTCACGTGATGAGACTTTTCTGTGGACCCTCCAACCTGGGCTGCTCACACTCTCATTCCTGACGTTCATTTTCCTCCTTGACCTTCAGTACCACCTGACCGCTGACATTTGACTTCCACACCCCCCCCAGGCCCTGAGCCCGCCTGGCTCTGACTCTTCAGAATCCCCAGCATTCCTCGGGGCAGAAACCACAGGAGACACTGGGAGAGTGTTTGCGGAATGACGACTGGAGTAACAGCTTTATTCCCAGAGCTGCCATCCCTCCCTGGGTCTGTGGTGGGCAAGGGGCCTTGGGGCTCAGCAACAGAGCCGTGCGTGCAGGAGGCGGGTGGAGGGGGTGGGGTGGCCGGTCCTCCAGGCCACCACTTCACACAGGCTCCATCTGCAGCTCCTCGCCGTCCACAGCCTCGATCTGGTGGAAGGCGGCATGGGAGCCGATGACCACGAGGGTGGCCCCTGCAGGGAGCGGGCAGGGCAGCTCAGGGCCTCGTCGCCTTGCCCGGCCCGCCTTGACCACCCTGCCACCCGGACCCGGTCACTCACCCAGGACCCAGAAGACGGCCGAGCCGGCACCAGCCAGCCAGAAGAAGGGGAAGGAGACGCCTCCGGCCAGCGCGTACTGATGGGCTGTGCTCACCTCTCGGCCTGGGGGTCAGATGGGGGTGCTGGACAGCTGACCCAACCCGTACGCCACTTCAGAACCCCACCACCACCCCTCAGTGGGGTGCTACAAACTCCAGAAGCCCAGAGACCTCATCCAAACACTGCGAGTTCCAGTCCTTACCTATCGCCCTCATGTCTCCCTTCTCCAGGTCCCTGACCTTTCATCCCATTTCCTCTAGGAAGCTCCCAGCATCCCCCTCTCCTCCAGAGGAGGGCTCTGAGGCTTCCACGTATGGGGCCGCACCAGGGGTTGCCCACCAACCCAGTCTGACCAGAAGGGGTCTGTGGCTGATGGAATAACGGAACTACTTCTCACAAAAACATGCACTTCTGGCTTCTCACGGAAGACTGGAAGATTGGGTCACCCGGGCCTGCCTTCTCTGCTGACAGCTCTTCCCCCAGCCCACCTCTGTCGTGTCCCAAGGGGCTTCAGAAAGGAAGAATGGAATGTGTAGATCATGGAAAACTTCTGGGAACTACTTGAAGCCCCCTTTTGTGGGTGACTTGCAGGCGTCCGTCTTGGGCCTGCCCTGAATGTCTGATGACAATTGCTGCCTGTCCTCCCTCTGAACCTGAGCTTCTCCTGGCTGAGGACCACACGAGGAGGTTCTCTGTAAAAGCCACAGGCCTCAGTTTCCCTCTCTGAGAAAATAAGAAGCAGGAACGTGCAGGGGGAGGTGAATGGTGGGGAAGCGGGGCCTGGTACCTGCAGCAGAACTGGTAATTACCACGGAGAGATGAGAGGAGAGTAGGGGGCAGTGGCTTGGGGAGGAGATTTTAAAGGACTCTGGCAGCTCCGTGGAGAATGTGCCTCATTTTGCAATTCGGGGGGCGGCAGAACTGGGTGATAGAGCTCGCCCAGGCAGACAGGCAGGCTCAAGAACTCGGGTTTCGGGGTTCTGATGGGGGTGTGATTCTCACCAAAGAGCACAAGCTTGGACTGCAGCGTGCGCAGGTAGAGGATGTAACAGGCGCCGAAGAAGACCGCCAGGGCGACCAGCAGCATGGGGGACGTCACCCTGAGGGGAGAGCAGGGAGGCAAGGGTAGGGCCTGGGGCAGTGCCCAGCTAGCCAAAGCTGGGTCCTCTCTGGTCACCCTAATAGGGGAGTAGCTCTCACTGCCACCTGTCAATGCTGACTCCTAGTGAGCCTCTGAGCCCGTAACTATTTACTGGCGTTGAAAGCCGGCTTTCTCCCGGGGAGCTGCTGGTTTCGAACTGCTGACCATGCGGATCGCAACCCAACGCTCAACCACTACACCACCAGGGATCCTACAGGGGAGTGGGGAAGGGCCTGGAAGGGGCACGCCCACGGGGCGGGGCCCGGCCGGCGGGGGCGGGGCCCGGCCGGCGGGGGCGGGGCTGCGCGCTGGGGGCGGGGCCGACGACCCCAGGCGGCGGGCGCGGCGCTCACACGCAGTACAGGATGAGGCCCAGGAACACGAAGACGTAGTTGCTCTGGAAGTGCTCCACGTTGCGGACGAGGCGCTGGCACAGTTCGCCCAGATTGCGGGGCCTCGAGAAGCGCCGCTGGTCCACGAAGGGGCCCCAGGGCCGGATGGTGGCGCGGCGGCGCTCCAGCCACTCCCGGCCCGCGCCCGACGGGATCAGCTTGGGCAGCAGGGTCCTGGGGGGCGGGGGGCGCGGGGGGGCGTCAGCGGGGGGCGGAGTTGGCCCGGAGCCTCGGGGATGGAGGCTGAGGGCCGGCCTCCCGGCTCCCGGGGGTGGACGGGGCCCGAGGTCCCAGAGGGAGGAGTCCTAGACTAGAAAGGAGACGGGGGGCTTGGGCGCCTGAGTCTGAGAGAAGGGGGGCTGGGATCTGGACTCCTGGGGCCCGAGGGACCAGGGACCCGCCCTTGAGTCCCGGGTTGGGGGGCGGCGGGGAGAGGAGGGGAGGCCTGCGCCTGATCGCTCACGTGGCGCTCAGCCCTTCCGCTTCGACATCCTTGTGCTGGTCCTTCTCGGCCGCCATATCGGCACGGTGAGGAGCCGAACCGCGGTCAGCAGCCCGGAGTGCCGCCGACGCCGTCCGCCCCTCCGCAGCCCGGCCTCACGCAGCCCTGCGGACGTGGCGCCGCTCGGGAACCGCTAAGGGGGCGGGGCTTCTGTCGCCGGGCATTGTGGGAGTTGTAGTCCTATAATGGTGTCCCTCTGCAGCGAAGAGGTCGACCTGGGTGCATCCTGGAAGATGTAGCTACAGTAGCGGGGCCTGTGAGCGTTGCCCATACGGTCATGATCAGCTGGAATTCACCGACCGCACTTACAAACAGCGATGGTCGAAGCAGGTGCCATGAGCTTCCCAAGACCGCATAGAGCAGTCATTCTCTGACTCTGCTGTTGGGAGGTTTCCAGGGTCCTGACATAGGACAGAACACTGGCGGTCTCGCTCACGATTCTTGTTCGTGGTTGCAGCCGCCGTGTCTATGCATCTCAGCGAGGGTCCATCTCTGTTTCCCTTGGCCCTCTACCAAGCATGGTAGTCCTTTTCCTGCGGGGTGGCCTTTCTGGTAATAGGTTCAAAATGCGCGAGACAAAGTCTTGCCATCCTTGCTTCTAAGAAGTATTCTGGTTGTACTTCTTCCAAGACGGACTTTTTCCTCCCCGAGACCGATTTGTTTGCTCTTCTGGCTGGCCGTCCATGCTACTGTCAGGATTCTCCCCCAGCACCGTCATTCGATGGCATCGAATCTTCTGTGGTCTTCATAGCCACTGACCAACTTTCACAAGCGTGTGAGGCAAATGCAAGTACCATGGCTCGATGGATATGTTTTTAAAACCAGCTGGAGGGCTTTGATAAAACGCTGGTTCTGCTCCTTTATTCCAGATGCGCTGATTCAGTAGGTTAGGGTTTTGGAGTCCATTAATCTGCGTTTCTAACAAGTCTCTGCTAGGTTTCTGGAAGTTGGTAATACCTCGGTTCTGGGCTTCGCACCATGAAAGAATTCCCGCCGAAGCCCATTTTGTAATCCCAGTGGGACAAGTTTCAGGTTTTACAGTCTCAAAGGGGTTCACAACTGGGCCCTCAACCATGTGGAAAAGAGCACCCATGTGTGCGGATCTTGGGGGGTGGGGATCCTGGGAGGCCAGAGTCCAAAAAACCCTAGAGGCTGAGAGCATGTGGGCCAAGAGGCTGTGGGCCCCTAGTAGGCCTGGAGCGGGTGTACGTGGGCCGGTGAGGGGAGGGAGAGTGTCCCAGAGTGTGCTCCCTGCCTTTATTCTAGCCCACCCTCTGGTGGGGGAAGGTGCGGTTGATGGTATTGGTTGACCCCATTAGGCCCACCTGGGTGATGTCATGAGCCTGGGCCTAGTTTGGACCGCCCAGGTACCTCCCACCTGGCTCAGGGGCTTTAGTAGGAGCATGCTCAGTTTGGGGTCTTCATAGGTGACTAATGGTTGCCTGATTTCTTTCCAGCCTCTTCTATGGGGGCCTTTGCAGGTATGGGAGGGACCACCCCCTGTCCCTAAGCTAGCTACCTAACATTTCCAGGTGAAGTTGGTGCTGCTGGCATTCTGAATATGTGCGTTAGAGAATTTGTGGGCAGAGGGCAATGAGAGGGTCATGGTTGCTGGAGGGTGTGCCTAGCGTTTGGAGTACAGATGCTCCCTTGCCCCTGGGGCTCCCAGGGATGAAAGGGTCAGAATGAACCCCAGGACCTTTGGATAGGAGGAGGGGAAGTGGGGGAAAGGTGTATTAGTTTAGGTAGACTAGAGAAACAAATTCATAAACACTCATATGTATGTAAGGGAGAGGTTTATATATAAGAGCAATTGAACGTTGAGAAAACATACCAGTCCAGTCCAGATCAAGTCCATAACTCTGATATTAGCTCATATTTCCGATATCAATCTATAAAATCCTCTTCAGACTCACAAAACACATGCAATGACGCCAAATGCAGGACGATCACAGGCCAGTGGGTAGAAAGTCTTTAGATCCAATGTCATTGGAAACATTTCAGCGCTGGCAGGGGACTCTCTGTGGCTTCTCCAGCTTCCGAGGTCTGGTTGCATCCATGTGGCTTGTCTTCTGCAATGTCTCCCAGGGAGTAGCAGAGAGAGAGGTGTCTTCTGCCTCCAAAGAGGATGTACCAGATTTCCCAGAATTCTCAGGAGAAGGCCATGCCCACAGAAGTCTCATTGGCTATCTCCAGGTTGACAGCCTAGACTCCACCCCTACACTCTTCATCCTTCAATTGACACCAGATTAGGTGACTCCCACAAAAGGAAGGGTTGATAGTAAAAAGAGGAAGCTGGAGTAGCTAAAAGAGGATTCTGGAGTCAGTCAAATCTGGACATCAATCCAGACCACATCCCCGGACCTTAGCTTCATGGGATCAGTGAGGATCCTGCGGGATCCTTCGGGCACCATTCGTGTGTGGTTGGCCATTCAGTTCAGTGAATCACATAAATGGCCCATATAAAAGAGCCTTTATGAGTGTTGAATAAAGTATGCTGTTGTGATGTGCTCCTGTGTTCATTTCAGCTCCTTAGTGACCCCGTGTGACAGAGCACAACTGAATTGTACTTGTTTGGGGAACAGATTGGCAGGTGTTCTCCCCCACAGAGACGGTGAAAGTTGAACTGTCAGCCTCTCGGTTAGCGGCTAAGCTCCTAGCCTGTTGTGCCACGCGGCACAATACGTTGTACTTGCTGTTTGACCGCATTATCATCACTATTATGAATTTTATGATCATTACAATGTGTGGCGTTCAAGGGGTGAAGGAAGGTCATGTGGGAGACAGAACTGGGAAGAGAGTGTATGCAAACACATTCTCTGTGTTCATATTTAAGAAGCCTGGGAGGCCTCCATGCTATGAGCTGGAGACAATCACATGCCCCTAACTAAAAGTTATTTCCCACAATACTCCCCCTCCAATCCCACCTGCTGTAATAATGTCAATCTTAAGATGCTTCTTACAGGCTCAGGGCTGCTTACTATCTGCTTGAAGGTTGTCTGCCTGTCTGTCTGCCATCAAAAGCAATCAGACCCTAATATCCGCCCCACCCTAAGCAGGCCCACTCCCTTCTGATAAGGATCATGGATTGTTCCCCTGGAGAAGAGATCAGAGAAACCTAGGCCAAGCCAGCTCAGGGATGACCAAGTTAAGCCACCATTTAACTCTAGAACCTGCCCACCTTGTGATGTATGTGCCTTCCTGTCACGTGTATGCCTCTATCCCAGGGATTCTCAACCTGTGGGTCGCGACCCCTTTGGGGATTGAATGACCCTTTCACAGGGGTCGCCTAAGACCATCGGAAAACACATCTTTCAATGGTCTTAAGAACTGAGACACTGTTCCTCTATCCGTCTCCAGGCAGGTCTGCCCACATGCAGATATGCCCACCTACGTTATGAGTACCCAGCGTGAAGACTGTTACCCATGCTACACCATGCTTCAAGACATTTCATTGATTTGCTATTAGAAATAAATATTTCATAATATATAATTACATATTGTTTTGTGATGAATCACTATGCTTTAATGATGTTCAATTTGTAACAATGAAAATACATCCTGCCTATCAGGATTCATAACAGTAGCAAAATTACAGTTATGAAGTAGTAATGAAAATAATTTTATGGTTGGGGGTTACCACAACATGAGGAACTGTATTTAAGGGTCTGGCATTAGGAAGGTGGAGAACCACTGGACTAGCACATTCCCTTCCTGTCATGTGTGTGCCTCTAGCACATCCCCTTCCTGTTACATATGTGTATGATATGGCTTGCGTGTCTGGTGATTATATAAACCTGCTGGAGAATACCTTAGCTCCTCTCTCTCTGTGGTTCACGTCCCCCTGGAAGAGGGGCGCCTTTGCTTGTCTTATCTGATGTCTCTTTAATTTACCCCTCAATACACAACTGCCCCTGAGGACTCATTCGGTTGTGGAGGCTGGTCCCCCACAAGGTAGGGCTTTGAAATTGGTGGATTTCAGGAGATGGGGCTCTGAGGCAGCAGGTTAGTGAAAAGGGGGTCTTACATCAGAGGAATTAAGAGAAGTAGGGTCCAGAGGCAGAGGATTATGGGAGCTGGGACTGGAGGCTGGAGCTCTGAACCTGCAATGGGGTTGGGGGGCGGGGCGGGGGCCCAAATAAGACCCATTGTATCCAGCCCATGATCTCTTTAAATGTTGAACAGCAAGGAAGTTGCTTTGAGGACTCAGGTGCGCCTGACCCAAGCCATGGTGCTTTCCATCACCTCACTGACGTGCAGTTGGACATTGAATAAGGACCATCAGAGAACTCGTGTCTCTGAATGACGGTGCTGGTGGAGACTATTGAAAGACCACCGCCCACAGAAATCTGCATAAGAAGTAGTGCAGCCAGAATATGCTCCTGAGAAATCAAGAGAGGAGACTTTGATTGTCAGGAGAGACCAGTGCCTGGGAAAGGCAGTGAGAAAGAGGCAGACCCTCCATGCGATGCACTGACCCACTGGCCGCAAAGGCAGACTTGAACATGATGCCAGGTGTGAGGGTGGCACCGGACTGGGCAGCGTTTCCCTCTGCCGTCCGTAGGGCAGCTCTGGGTGGGAGCAGCTAACAGCACAAGGACATGGTCCACTATGTTAGGGATGGGGGTGAGACGGATGGAGCCCCGAGACCAAAGAGATTGTGAGAAAGGAGTACCAGGCACAGTAGGGGGGCCGAGAGGCTCTGGGGCACAGGCACTGTGGGAAGTAAGAGGATCCTTGAGACAGGTGCATGCTGGGAGATGGGAGCTCCCTGAGAGAAAGGGCTGATGGGAGAAGAGCCCCTGAATTATGGGGGGTGTGGAGAAAGGGCCCTGAGTTAGGGGGAGGTAAGAGGGAAGGTGGTCTCTGAAAAGCTCCTGAGAGATGGGCGCTGGTCTAAAGCTTCCTTTCCTGCCTGTAGAGCCCCTGGAGAGCGTGGAGCTCAGAGGGCCAGGAGACTAACACAAGGCACCAGACAGTTGGTGCTGTCCTTCTTGTGCCACCTCAGGGAGCCCTCGTGGAGAGTTGGTTGTGCACTGAGTGGGTCACTGTAAGATTGAGCAGCAGTGGGACCCCGACACGTGTGG